GTGCTCATCTTATCCTAAGCACCGATGAGTTGGCACATTAATTCATTGGTGGATAAAGATTTTGTGAGTTCCAATCCACCAATGAATTAATGTGCCAACTCATTGGTGTTTAGGATAAGATGAGCACCGGTGCTCATTAGATCATTTCTGTATATAGAACAATGGAATACAGTTCTCTTCTCTAATCTCGTTTAATTTAATATTTTTAAAAAGATTATCCTAGCTTTCAGTTGGTCCAATAAATAATGTGGGAAGGTTCTTTTGATAGCTTTATGCACGTTTATATTGAAATAGCAAGACAAATTGCCCTATATTTTATATTGCTAACATTTTTTGATTGGTCAAAACCAAAGAACGTTCAAACAATTATTCTACATTATTCTGTTAGAAAGTAATGAATCTTCTCATTCTTTAATTTGATAGCTATGCAAATATATTAATCAAGAATTTGATAAGTGGCTGAAAATTTATTGCAGACTTTAATTAGAAAACTATAGCTAGTAAAAAAATTGCATAGGAAATTGAAGTGATTTGAGACGTCAGTCTCGATATTAAGAGTACATATCAAACTACTCGATTTGTAATTACTACTAAAGTGTAATGAACTTCGTGATCACCAGATATAACCAATTCTACTCAATATTGTTTATCTTGTACATCATTATCTCTTAAGAAGTACTAATGGAGTGATTGAGCTCATTTTGAATGAATTTGTAAAAATGATTTTTTGACAAATGTGCAGTTAAAAAGTAAAAAAATTTTGAGATTTATGTGTAAAACTATTTTATTCTAAGAATATGATTGAAAATAATCTCGAAGAAAAATGGGTTTTTTTTAATAATGGGTTTCAATCATGACTTTGAATGTCTGACTTCTCTAGCCGTATAGAAATAGTTACTACTTGGATTAGTTTTTCCTAGGAGCATCATTACTAGTGTGTAAGACTAGGATAAATATATTTGTACAATTTTTTTGACAATATTATTGATAATGTTGTAGATTGCAATAAAGTGTTGAATGAAAAGATAAATTATTTTTTAAACTGTTTAATGATAAAACGTCACGTAGCATGTATCAACAATGTTGTTAACAATATTGTACACCAAACGTTATTAAAAAAAATAAGGGCATGTTTTCTTTACTATTTTCAAGCAATTTTTCGTTTTCGATTTTTCAAAACAGTGAAAACGCGTTCTCTTTCCTATTTTCTAAAACACGTTTTTAAAAACAAGTTAAAAATTTACAAAGGAAACCTAAAACGACAAATTGTCTTTTTGGGTGTTTTCAGTTATAATCAAATCAAAATTTTCAAAACGCGTATTGGGTGTTTTCAAAATAATTTTTCAAAATGTAAAAAAGAATACATTTTTAAAAATTTATAAATGAACACTCAAAACATAAGACTTAAAATGAATTCAAAATTCAAAACACAAAATTGAAACACAAAGATAACAGTTCATAAGCTTTCTAGAACATTTTTAAACCATTGAGGACAAAGTTTGGTACGACGTCATGGATATGATTCTAGAAAAGTCTGATCTTATCTACTTTTTATAGTAAATAATTGTATTTCAATTTCCTATTGGTTTCTTTATTGCATTTTCTTGTTCCAAATTGAGGGCAAACAATTCTTGAAAAAACTAATCATAACGTGCTCGATTTAACATGTAATAAATCAATTTGTACAACACATCTAGAATGAAGGACGAGATGACAGATAAATCTTTTTAAGTGTATGCTTAATGCGATATGATAAAATGACTCTTTTATTACGTGCAGGTCATCTTAATTCAGACTAATTGGTCTTCATAAAATCAAAAGTACGTATAGTCAAATTATTGAAATATAGGTTCATAGAGTCGATAAAATATTCCAACAATTTTAGATGAGAATCCAAATATTCTTGTGCAAGTAACTTTATTTTCTTCAAATAGAGTAAATTACAAATCTTAACATTGTTAAAAAAGGTTGAACCCCAACCTTGAGGGCCCCCACCGACCCTGCCCTGGACCATTGTGGAGGATTCTTTTATTATTAACTTTTTCAAAAGGTTGAACCCCCAACCTTGAGGGCCCCACCGTCCCTGCCCTGGACCATTGTGGAGGAGGTAAATCGTAGGATGTGCCTCCCAGGAGCCAGGGTGAAGAGCTTATGGCAAATCTTAACATTGTTGAAAATATGGAACCCTACTTGCGTGTTTGAACTCAATTTCCATGCCTACTCTCTCATCCTAATTAATTTGATAAACTTGATGATTGTACTTGCAGATTTTAATGATAACCCAAAATTTAAGAAGTTCTCATTTCTCTTTTAACACACGCAACTTTAACAATTCTTTTCAAATCCACAGTGAAAATCATTGATTTTCTGGAATAATTTCCATAATTTCTAATTCTCCTCATTATGAAATTAATATTTTAATAAGTCACCAACCAAGGGACTCAACTGAAAGTTGGACACCAACCCAAAAGGAAAAAGCTGCTATATCGTCATATAGTAACATAAAATTCAAAGTTTGAAATCCGAAGTTTCCCAAGAACTTTCGAGGAAAGCCCCATTTTCAAGATTTGTATTCTATGTAATATTTATCATGATTAAGCCTATGTTTGGCCCCTTTATTTTTTTCAAAAATTCATTTTTTAAAACTCATTTTTAACCACGTATTCTTTCATAAAATAATTTTACACATAAATTCAAAATTTTAAAGAAATTTTTTAACCACAT